GAGCAATGCATGCCACTAGTTTCTCCATACAGGAGGCGTCTTGAAGCTGTCATTGCCAACAAAGTCTTTTGTACAAAGTATTGGATAAATTTCAGTAAAATACGTATGTTCAATACTTTTTCCCTGTGCCATTCCACATTATTACAAATGACTTCATTTCTGGACATTTATGGTTTGATTTCTTTGTATGTATGGATCACTTGGGTTGTTCCCGACATCTGGTGAAAATTTCATGTCATTAGCACCTCTAGTAATATATTTACTGAGAAAAATGGTGACGTGTTCAATACTTATTTTACCCGCTGTAAAATTCTACAGGCAATGTTTTACATTTTGTTTTGGATATGTATGGGAAGGGCTCCAACAGTCTGAATTAATGACACACCTTCCACACAGAAGAAGAAAAACGCAGTTTCTTCAACACAAAAATCTATTATTTGTGTTTTTTGCTTGCTTTCTATGTYGCCTTCTTTTTGATCCACAATGTTTCTGCTATTTCAACAGTTCATATAATGTATCTAAACGTTCAACTCATTTCATGCCATGGGTGCTACAAATTTTGGTATTTCAGCAACCTATATTTTTTTTAGGTATTTGCTTTTCCTGCCATTTTATTTTCATTGAAAATGAATGAAGTTGTCTTTGACATCCTTAAAACCTTTAAAGATGTAAAATAAATCTTAACTTTTTACATTTTGTTCTAAATCTGCTTTATTCAACTTCTTTGTGCTAATTTTTAAAATGTTTTTCAGTTATCCTTCTGCTCCTTTCAGACATTTGTCTGTTGATTTAAACTTGTTTAGGCATCTATCAGCTTTTTTCTGMTAATTTTAGCTTTTTTGCTTCTTTTAGCTAATATCTGCTTATTTCAGCTGTTTCCTGCCTTTTTAGCTACTTTGTAGCTATTTTAGCTAATCTCAGCTTCCTTACTTTTTTAGGCTTATTAGCTTCTTTTCGCTAATTTAAGCATTTATGCTTCTTTTAGCTGATTTCTGGTGATTTCAGCTGGGTGTTTGCCTTTTTAGTTATATTGTAGCTATTTTCAGCAATTTTTACCTTTTTTTCATCTAAATTCACATTTTGGGGATAATTTCGGCTTGTTACTTACTGCTTAACTCAGCAAATATGTGCTTTTCTGCGTCTTTACTAATTTCAGATTTTTTAGCTACTTTTCTACCAATATTGGTTGCTTTAGCTATTTTAAAACAAATTACGTAGGTTTTTGTATTACTTTTCTAGTTTTTCTGCCAATGCAAGCTCTTTTACTCTCTGTTCCCTCTGTCTGCTAATTTTAACTTGCTTCTGCTACTATAATTTTTGTTTTCCTACTTCCTACTTTCAAGGTGAACTCACATTAACAATTTTTCTATAAAACATCTTCTTCAGCAACTTCTTCAACATTAAGAATTCACATTGCATTTTGGCAGGAAATTCAAATTCTCTATTTTTATTTACCTTTTATTTTCAGCTTGACTGTATTATCTTTTATACTATTTTTTTTACTTTAGTGTGTCTTTGAGTCATTTCGTGTTTCAGTTTATCAAGAGTCTCAAATTTTCTCCTCATATTTATACCTATTGTTTTTTTTTTACCTTTAAATATTGATTAACTCATAACATTACTTCTAGATAAAGCTATAAAACACTGCCACACTTGAAAAACACAAAAYCCACTGACATACCTGACATTGAGGCAATGCCACACCCAAGTTTCTGGAAAAAAAGTACGCCTTCGTTTCTCAGATCTACAGTCAAAACACAAGAGGAGATGAGCTATAAATAACTTTTTACATTGCTCAAACCTTTAATATTTTAAATCAGTACCATCTGTACCCCTTAAGGTTGTGAGTCACCCCACACACACAATGCCCACAGACTGCCTGAAGCATCCCTATAGCAGATCCGTTACCTGTGGGAGAGGCGGGAATGCATGGCAGCCACCAAAGTGGACGTGTGAGGCTGGAAGGCAGGAACAGCCTCATCAGTGTACATCCCTCCGCTCTGCCGGTGGTTTAAACTCACCATGTCTGTCATCACCACCAGCCCCGCTTCCTGTGTTAAACACGCAGTGAGACGCATACACACACATGGTAAGGTTGTCACTTTGTATCATTGGACAATTTAAGTGTATATTCTCACCGTGAAAGCAAAGCATGCGTCTTTAGTGATGTCCCAGTGCCATGGAAACACMGAAGACCGCCTGCGTCTCTTTGATGACAGTCCAGGCCACCACATGTGTCCGTCGTCTTTAGCATTGCCAAAAACATCGGAAACGTCGAAGCTGGCCAACTCTTTAAACACCTGCACAAAAAGACACGTTTGTGTAGAACCTTTAAAAACTGCAGTAATTAAATAAAAACGGATCAGGGCCATGAATTCCAAGCAATGAAATGAGGAAAAAAACCTGAATCTACAAAAATACTTTCATTCGCTGCACACTGTTGATGGGAAATGAACGGGACAAACCTTGTCGGGACTTAGCTGAAAGTCAGGTTTTACCAAGTAAAGACTTTTATCCACAGCGGCCACACAAACACACGAGCCCCTCTCAGCCCGCACATGCAGGGTCATTGGGTCTCCAGGAACAGAGTCATTCGACGACAAAGAAACGGATACCTACAACACAAACAGAGGCTTAAATCAGTCTTCAAACGTGTGATGCCGACCAAATTTGTGCTTTTCAAATCTATTTATTGACCTGGTTGGTGGATATTAAAAAGAGAACCCTTGTGAAACTCGTATGAAACTTTCAGTTATTTGACTACACCATTTAATCACTAGTTGGCAGTGTTGCGTAGGTAAAAAAGGACTGACGTTTTTTGTGTGATCTGAGGTAAACAACATGACTGAGAGTGGAAAACTTCAGTGTTTACAAACAGGGGGAGTGTTGGCGAGTCATAAACTTTCACACATCAACACTCCGTTTTACCAGCACACGGTCACAGTCTAGCTTTGTTACTTGGATCGCTGCCTTSCTTTGACCCATCTGTAACCTTTCATCCTTTCCTGTCATGACCCGACTTATCTGCCTGTGGCCTGCATGGTCATGGTCTCATCCTGTCCACACGGCCCCTCCTCCAACACACAAACACACACACACACACACACACCATGTTGTAAGGGCATACCACAGAGCTGTAAATACTTCAGGGAATTAACTCCACCTAATTCAGGCAGGAACTGGGGTGTGCTCTCGGGCCAACGCAGCTGTTTGTTTACTGACAYTACCCTGCAGTACTAAGGCTGGAGCATGGATATGTAGGCTCAGATCCAAAATGTATACAGTGAGTCCATCTTTTTCCAACTTTCAACAAATCCTCATTTTGACAGGTACATTTAACTCAGTATCCACAAACATCAAAATTATGAGAGACCTACAACACAAGCTACTGACATGTCTAAATGAGCCTAAAACTCTTTCTTTCAGATTGCTTTACTATATAGGAATTAAAAAAATGTTTTTAAACCTGGTTTTCAAATTCAGGCTGGACAGAGATTTGCAGACTGTCTGTTACACCTTCGCCATTCTTYCTCACATAGTAGACCAGCAGACGGCTGAGGGGCGCCATGCTGTGACTGACAGGGAAATGTAGATAAGACARGCAGGTGTCCAGCTCAGCCTCGGAGGAAGAGTCTGCAACACCAGAGAGAAGGAGACAGAAAATGGTGAGACATCCCTGTCATGGCCGTGCAGTAGAACAGCACGATATATTGTTTGAGCAGCGTCATCGCAAAGTACATGTGAACAATAACCACACTACAGGTCCTGTGATGTAGGAGGCAAATTAAATCAACCTAAAGCTTTTATTTTGATGGGTTGCTTCTGCCAGCGGAAGTAGGGGGCTTTGTGTCAAAAAAGTTAAAACTTTCATTTTGGCRTTTAACTCCTGGGACAATAATCGCAACATTTATCAGAGAAGTGTTGTCGGTGAATTCTCGAGCTGTTGAGGAACGAGGATCTTGATGTTAACAGGAAGGTGAGCAAATTCACAGAAAACTGGAGGAAAAAGGGTAAATACAGTTATTGAAGSATGATAGAAACAGAAACAAAGATAGATAGTTCTAAAACGCAATTCACGTTTGTACACGATAGAAGGAAATACTGTATGTACTCAGGTCCCAGCACAATAAAAGCAATAAAAGATAAAATGAATAATTCTCAAATACAGACAAAAAAAAACAGACTTGTACCATGCATAAAAATAGGAAAGATTGGTGTAGGTTCACCGTCAATAAGATGRCAGGATGGCACCATTACTTAAAGTGTTATTCAATTCATCTGTTGAAAATTCATGTATTTTTTTTTTTTGCATCACAATAAATATTGCAGGGTTAGAACAAAATTGCAATGCCCATTTTCTTCCCCAATATTGTGCAGTCCTACTTTCTAGAAATCTATTTGGTATGCTATGCTACATTACAATAGGTGTCAATACAAAGTAATGCGATAAGATGCAATAAAGTACAGTGTGACATGATATACGAGATACAATTCGATACGATACGATACAATACGATACGATACGATACGATACGATATGATGCAATACGATGTGATGACGATGAGATGTGATGTGATGCGATGTGATACGATATGATACGATATGTTAGGATGCACTTAATTCTTTGTGGAAATTTTTTTTCAACATAATGCAGCCTCAAGCTGCACCACGTTATTTCACAAAAGATCATGAGTAAATATTTTGCATAGTTCCTAATACCTAACGACAGTGTCACGTTTAACAACATCCTTTGTTGCTTCTGTTATGTGCCGGTCTACTGACTATCATAAAATCAAAGAGGTTTCATCTCCTGGTTTTTCTGYGTACATGTTTTTTATCAGTTCTGAAAAGGTATTTCATGATGAAACATATCCGCCCATTACCAGAGGCAGGAGGAGGGAGGTGGGTGGTGTGAACTATCTTATCAAAGGTCACTGCTGCCCTTTTTCCTCGATGCGAGGCTGTCAGATTGGCCGGCTGTTTGCCTGATAGGACAATGTTTCCCCTGGATATCACCTCGTAGTGCAGAGTGAAGTTACAGGGACATGTAGATTTGAGGACTATTTCAGCCTCTTGACCAACCTAAACAAACAAAAAGAGAAAAACCTAAACTTGAGGCCATAAGAAAAAAGGTACAGTATATTTGCAACGCATTTCTAAAAAGCATCAAAAAACAAAAGAACACTTAAAATTTAGCAGACTTTTCCAAATTCAAACAAAAAAAGGCAAACCATACTTTAAGAGGAGCGCTGGGACTCTGGATCTGGATATGACACCTACTTGGAGAGTACCAACTACTAATGGACAGGTAGCTAGGTAAGTACTGGTCTCCCACTGTCTTGCCATCAATGGATGTCACCTTGGTCTGTTTGAAAAAAGACACAGTCTACAACCCCGTCTTTGTTTTTTTAATTTATTTATTTATTTTTTTGCATCATAAAACACAGGAATCTGGCGGTACGTATCACTGACCTCAAGCCAAACATACTGAGCTGCTGTTGGTATGGAGGGGATTTCAAAAGTGACTTGGCCGTCCTTTGAGATCAGTTCACTGGTGTAGACATTGTCCTTTGGAGTCAGCTCGGCCTTAACAAGCATGCTTACGCTATCAGCTGGGCTCCCATCAGGAAAGGTAACTTCAATCTACAGGGTGACATTGACGAGAGAAGAAACAAGCCACAGTGTCAATCACTAATGTTTATTTGAATCAGAAAAGGCCTATATTGTTTTCAGTAATGAGATTGTGAAAAGTAAATCTTTTCTTATTAGTAGAAGTAAATCTATAAATTATTCGACTGATTTTTCCCATCTTTTAAATAATCGTCAGTGGACATGTTGCATACTATGTTGATTAACACAGTGTTGCTACACTTGATGCTATGCCCTTCATCATGAGCTTCACATGATGAGAGTGTACCTTACTTTTGGCACAACATCAGCAGACCACAAAAATAATTGACTGAAATACTATGGTAACTTTCAGCTTTTCTTTATTTCTTTACTAATTTAATATGCATACATGTCAACGTATAAGTTATCAGGATTTTACATCATTTTGCAGGTGTACGGACATATAGGGCAATCTCACGGATTTTTGCAAGTCTTACGGATATTTTCAAAACTTCATTTTCAAACTTATCTAACATGTCAGAGCCTGTAGGATGATTTAAAAAACAATAAATAACATCAAACAGCCATCTTCCAACCTGTTCTGCTGCTAGAAATAAGTTTTGAACTTTTTCCTCTCTCCTTTCCTCCTGCTTTGCAGCAGGCGCTTTCATTTATGGGTTTTTGGAGCTCTTTATACAGGTAAACGTCCAAAGAGGTTGACATGAATGRATATGAGTCCTTACAAAAAGKCATTGCTTCAATGTCTGTGTAGTTATAACTTTTATAAATAACAATATTCTACTGTATTTCTGGATTAAATTTCCTCACTATGGGTTTTTTCTTCCAGGGTACTCGAACTCATACAAAATACCCCGATACTCTGAACCAATACCACTACTGGTACTGATACTGGTATCGATACCAGGAAGGTCTACAAGGAAGGAGAGACACTTTCTTCTAAATTAAAAAAATGTATTTTTAAAGTCATTGTGTAATATATAAGTTCTAACTCAGTAAGTACTCAGTATCAGTACCGGTAGGTATCGGCAAATACATTTGCAAATACTCAAACTGAAATRCTCATACTTGTACTTGGTTTGAGAAAAAACTGGTATCGGAACCCCCGTACTTTTATTTATGGGCCAAAAAAAAGGGGCGAAAAAACTGGATTCATAAATTGGTCACTTTGATTTCTACAAATCTTCATAAGCTTTTTAAATCCCTCCCCCCAAAAAATAAAACTGATCACTTTCACTTAATGCTTTAGTTTGTGACACATTTTTAGGTGTTCATAGTGTCATTAACTACTTTATTGCAGGTCTTACCTTCCCTTTGAAAGGCAGACCAGGCTTGAACTGTTTACGTGTATCCTTGGAGTACTTGATGTCAATGAGCTGCTTATGAACCGGTGTTGAATCATCAAAAGTGGTTTGCCTGCTTCCATCGATGCTGGTCACCGAGGCACAAATGCTAACTGTCCCCTTGAAGTGATCGGCCACATCCAGCGGCATCATGTCCTTCACACACAGACTGAAAGTTGCAGAGCCTTTGATCTGCCAAGAGAAGAAATGCTGTATTCAGGTATAGYTGGAGGGGCATATTTTCCTGCCAAAGTGGAAAATAACAACAGCACATTGAGTAAGTCTGCGAAGCTTACTCTCATAAAGGAGGTTTTAAGTCTTTATTCATTGTTAAATATTGGGTCAATAAAACATAATGAGTGCAATCTTGCTTTTGAGGCAGCTTGAAAATATTCTCGTACACACCAGTATAATATACAGTGCCAAAGATTCGTGTTACAAGCGGATTAAAATACTGACCTCCATAGATTTAATAACAGGATGGCCCATCTCATGCCTGTAGTAGCCAACTCCATTAACAGTCATATTTACTGTCAGCTTCCCTGTCACTGGTTTTCCAAAGGTATACCTGCACAGAATTTTCAAATGACCTTTAAGATGAAAAAAATCAACTATTTTAATTGCTAAAACTATAAATATTCAAAGTACTTTAGCATAAAGCTTATTACAATAAAGCTGCTCAGGAACCATAAGGTTTAAATATTCCTACAAATAATGAGCCATACAAAATAACAACATCAAGGTTTTATTGCTGTTGTAGTATCTTACACAGACATATAGTACTTTATGTAACGTACCTGGCTCTGACAGTGGCCTGTTCACATGAGGTAATATCCCGGATGTAACGCGGTGGATCGATGATCAACTCAAATTTGGGCATCACTGTGACAGAAGCAACAGGACATGTTGGTTTAGTTTTGTCTCATTCTGCCAAATCCTGCATTTCACCGTTGTTCATGCTGATTATACATAATGCAATCTACACCCACAATCATTGTATTAGTTCACAATTAAGTTGCAAAATATATGTTTGAAATACTAAATCAAACTTGTGACACAATAAAAATAAATAAATGAAAAGATGCTTGCAATCCAAAGAGCATTAAAAATGCTATATAATAACTCCTAAAACAATCCCTCACCATACTTCTGCACTTCGAACGACTTGTTGTAAATGTGGCCCTGCACATCTACAAAGATAAACCATTCTCCAAACAYGGGTTGGTCAGACAGGGGGAAACTCATGTTCACAATTCCTGAAAAAAAAAAGAGATTAAAATTTAATAACATGCTTCAAGCTAACTAATGGTAGACTGGATTATCCGACACCATACAGTCCAAATCTCATATATCTCATCTGTACGTTAGGTCTAAAATAGAGGAAATCACTTTACATAGATTGTTTGAACATATGCAGGAAATGTAAATCTGCAAAAAACTAAAATAAAATAAAAATATATAGAAACATAACTAACTTACCACAGCAGACAGACTTAAGACTTTTCCACTGGATCATCCTTGATC